CAGCTAGAACGTTATTAAAGGAATCTTGCGCGGAAAAATCATGATTCTATTTCAGCCATAAATCACTGGCTTGAGACTCATCCACGATAATAGTGAAAAGAACTGAAGTATTGCTTTCGTTTTGATTAGAAATTCGAAAACTCGAAAAGGCTGCTACGCGTTCGAATTGCCCACGGACGTCTTTCACGAATGCTGGCGACGGGGATGCTCAAACTTGGTTCTTGGAGTGCATTCACTAGAAGCTCTTTCTGGCCTTCTGCTTCGTTGCATTTCACATCTTACACTTCTACTCCATCCTATTCCATCGATCGATTTGTCTCCACTCTCCGAAATCGCGCGCTTTAACCCGATTCTCTCATTGCGTCGCCTGGTACGTAGCCGGCCAAACGCCGTCTTCTTTCCATGCCTCGCCTGGCTCTGCCTCCTGGTCCTTCGATGGTCCATAACGTGTAGTTTTTGTACGTTTGTTTCTCTTCAGAAACCGAATCTTCATGCGTGAAACTTTGTGTGCTATTTCCAGTGATCACAACTGACATATTCATGTTAGGAAAGAGTGCAAGAATTTTCCGCGCAAGATTCCTAGCGATAGGAATAGAAGAACGAAAAAACTGTATTGATTTTGATAAGAGAAAATTCGAAAACTAGGCGGTTTCTCCAACTTCTTTCTTCTTGTTACCTCGGCACGTCAGTTGTGAGTTGCTAAAGGCATGCCGGGTCGTGTGAAGAGTGAGGTCGGCAGTGGAGGTTTGGGAGCTCTTTGATCATAAAGCAGCGAATGCAAGTGCGAATTGGATTGTGCGAAAAATGGGCCGGCAGTGAAAAAAAAAAGAAAGAAACGAATCTGTCAAAAGCGCCAGTAAGGGCCACCACCCACCTTTCTAATTGGCTGTGCTAAGAATGAGAGATTAAGCGTTGGAAAGACGAGAGAGCGCCACGGGTGAGCTCTTATGAGTAAGAAAATCTGCAGGTTCCAGCAGCTATCTTTGCAAGGCCCAAGCGCTCTTGTCGATTGGTCTCCATGCACGGGAACGCCATATTTGTGACTGCTCTAAGGGTCTATACTACAGATTGGAAGGAAGCGTTCACACGACCTATGCATGGGTTATGCCTTTGAATTTCTTGTGCCTCACGAGGTTGTTTGTTGTAACATTTATTATTTCCATGGCCTAACATTTCGACTGAATCGTCGTCTTCGGAGGAAATGAATCCACTGACAACGCTCTGTGCGGCAGCGGACCTCTCCGCTCGAAGGGTGGAACCGTCGCCCTCTGGACGAAGATTAAATCGGAAAGTCCGCCCAATGAAAGAATAGATATTCCACCGAACAACCTTGTAAGGAAGAAGTTTACCAACAGGAGGACTGTCATGTGCTCAAATTCCCGCCGTAGATCTGCCACGAACGTTGGCACGCCCCACTCAGGTTGAACCGCCAGCTCCACCAACTCGAACGAGGAAGTGGTCGAAAAACACGGATCCATGAGAGAACGGATATTTATACAGTGTAAATGGAACCAAATTGCAACTCTAGCCTTGGGCTTTCACCAAAACACGAAAAGGATCAGAATATCTGGCACAGGGTCATCCGTCACCTTGAACTAATTCCAAAAATTTTACGACCCCCTCCCTCCTTCTGGGGGTCTCCCCCCTTCTGGGGAATTCGATACGACCCCCCAGGGTCAACCCTACCGTTAGTACATCTCGGAAGCTTTTTTACGACACCCCTATACCACCATGAGAATCAGGAGGCTCCACCTATAACAATCACTCCTGCTCCCCACATCACTCACCGTCCTGGCGACCTGGTCCGTTGAATATATATATATATATATTTATTACATGAGAATACTCATGTGAATACTTCAAACGAGTAGTAACCTAGCATTCGTAGAACACTTATGACATAATAGCACATTGCCAGCGCAAAGGTACAGTAGAAGGTATAGTAAAACAACATAACGTAAAAACAAAAGAAAAAAAACAACGAACTAAGAAAGCATATGAGAAATCGTAATCAATGTGGAAACGTAAAACATAACACGAGGAAGTCATTGCGGAACCAGGTGATCATCAAGGTATTTCTTGAATCCCGAAGAGGTAATAGGAATGCTTTTCTTTCTGCTTAGCGCCATGTATTGGGAGTACACACGATTTATGAAAAAGTGAGCTCTGCACTGAAGCCTAGCTTTAGGTAGCAGTAACTTGAAGACTCCACCTCTTGTCGTGGACGCTCCAACATTACAAAAAGTACTGAGATGGAGACAAGAGTGCCCATGAAGAATTTTGTGGAACATTAGAAGATCAAGCTTCCTCCGCCGCCAAGCAAGAGATGTTAGGCCAAGATTAGAGTTCCGAGTAATGGCCGAAGGAATACTATCGTAGAGGAAACCAACGACTCTAATAATAAGTTTCCTTGTAAAGCTGTTCTGAACTTTCTCAATTTTATCTATGATTTTCCGCTTGTGAGGATTGAATATGACAGTGCCGTATTCCAAAAGGGGCCGTACATATGTTTTATAGGCCTGAAGGAGAACCGAAGGGTTTTTGGTGGTCAATGCTCTAAATACCCTAAAGGTGGCATTTCGGGCTTTGTTAACAATTTCTTCACAATGTGCATCAAAACTAAGATCAGAGGTCATCAAAAAACCTAGGTCAATCGTTTTATCAACTTTCTGGACGAGCGAGCCCGCAATATTATACGAAGTGCAATGTGCACCACTAGCCGACTTAGTTCCAAAGCGCATAACCTTGGTCTTCTCTTTAGATAGGGGAAGACCCCATACATTGGACCAGGAGGATACGGCTTCAAGAGCGCGTTGAAGAGTGGTACAATCATCAGCAGTTCTTATTTGCTTGTAGATTTTTACATCGTCAGCAAATGCAACACATTTAACTCCACAGGACTGGATAACTTCTGGTAGTTCATGAGTGTAGATATTGAAAAGTGTTGGAGACAGAACTCCCCCTTGTGGGACACCACTTAGAACTGGTCTTGGCCTAGAATAAGCCGAATTAATCCGTACCATAAACACTCGATCAGTAAGAAAAGCCCTTATCCATGAGATAATTCTAGGGTGAATGCCAACAATTATAAGTTTGTCAACCAATTTCCTATGTGGAACCTTGTCAAAAGCTTTAGCGAAGTCAAGATATATGACATCAGTGCAGCTACCCTGATCACTGTATAGCGTCAAATCGTTCATGGTATAGAGCATGGCCGTCACAGTGGATTTAGTTCTTTGGAACCCATGTTGACTCGGAGAAATTATGGAGTGCTCTTCTAAATGAGCCTCAATCCTTTTTTTCAGTACTTTTTCAAAGAGTCGCGCAAAGACTGAAGTGATACTAATAGGACGATAATTTAGAGGTGAAGTGAAGGGCGCCTTTTTTGGTACTGGAGTAACAAAAGATAGTTTCCACCTGGAGGGTACTTCAGCTCTAATGAAGCTGAGATTGTATAAATGCTCAAGTGGGCCTGCTATAACATGGGCTATTTTCTTAATAAATTGGAGGGGGATTCTGTCAGACGTTGTCGAGTAAGACAATGGCCACCTGATAAGTAACTCATAAATTTCAGCAGCTGCAAACCAAACCGAGTCGGCCATAATAGGGAATTGAGCAGAAGCAGCCCCAGGCGAGGAGGAATCTGATTGGAAGCCACTCTCGAAGGATTGCATGAAGACGTCTGCTAATACCTCTACTTTAGCATCATCTGTAATAGCAGCACTACCATCAGCAGTCACAAGTTTTGGAATGTTGGCTTGGACTTCAACCTAGAGTTGAGAAGCTTATAGAACGAGTTCTTATCCTTGCTTTCAACTACTCTCTTTTCTATGTTATTGTTAAACTTCCAAACACGCTTGTTGTATCGGTCACGTAACGAGCGATACCTGTCCCAGTCCTGTGGCTTGCCGGTAGCAACAGCTCTATCCCACGCGGCAGATTTCTTGGACAGGAGGGCGTGGAGGTACCGAGGAAGGTGTGAATTGTGAAGGGGAACCTTGATTAAGGGTACAAATGAATCAATAGTGTGATGTAAGACAGCTAGAAATAGCTCATATTTACCATCAACCGTGTCCACTGCATTGAATGATCCATACCAGTCGACACCAGACAAATATGAATTAATGAGGTCATAATTAGCTTCCTTGAAATTACGCTTAAAAACCGATGGTAAAGGGTCATTAGGAATATTGATCTGAAAATTAACCCGTGCATGGTCACTGGTGCCAATAGGAGGCCTGACCTTCAAGTTGGAAACCACCGAGACATCATTACATAGAACAAGGTCCAATATGTGATTGCCAAGTGTATTTCCTCTTACCAACTGCTTTAATGGAGAGAGTAGAACAGATCTCTTAGAAAGGATTTTGATATAGAATTGATGGCGTATCAGGAGTAAGAGACCAGGAAATGTCCGGTAGATTTAGATCACCACAAATAAGGCACGTATGATTACAAGAAACAAGGTCACTGATGGCTTTGAAAAGCTGTTGGGTTAACGAACTGCTGCAGCTTGGTGCCCTATACGCAACAATAAATCGAAGAGAATTGTCGTTGATAATCAAATCTGCACATAGAAGCTCATAACCACACCGTACTGTCTCTTGGAACACTAGATTAGGATAAAAAGATCTCCGCAAAAATAATGCAACACCACCTCCTTTTTTCCTCTTGCGATCACATCTCAATACCTCATAAGGAAAGGAACATCCACCCAGAAGTGATGAATCATCAACTGCAGAGTTAAGCCAGGTCTCAGTGAGGGCTATAATATCGTAAGATTGGAGGCTAAGCAGAGACAGAAAGGCGTGCCTATTTTTGACCAATGACCTAATATTCGAATATAAAGCTGATATTTTTTTACCTGAGCACCGACGACAACTTCCTAGTTTGACATACCAGCTAAACTAGAGCTTGTGCAAGGAGAGGTTGAGGTGATTGCAGCATTGTAAACAAGACTGGTTGAATTCGTATTTGAGTTTTCAGATGAATGAGTGACCATGGGATCAGCATTGCCACGACGGGCGGCCCGTTCAGCACGCAGCCTATCCCTCTCCGATTTGGGGAGGGAAGGCCGAATATAGAGGCCAGGTACCCCAAAGTGCCTCAACCGGGGCGCTCGCCGTATGACTTGCCTAGCATAAAAAGAGGAGGGAAAAATCACTTTCAGCAATCTGGCATGATTCCTATCGAAACGACCAAGGCGATACACAGATGAAGGAGCACAATCGACGGATAAATAATCAAGAATGTTCTTAACACACTGATTATCATGACAAACGCGAGCGGAAGACACTGATAAGTTACTTTCAACTACACCTGAGATAATTATAGAACGAGATCGCTCGACATCTTCAAATTGACGAGGAGTAAGCAAAGTTGTCTGTTGAGGAGGACTGTGAAATAAATGCAACATCATCAGAGCGCTCTTTAGATTAGTTCAGAGAAGCTTATCTTTCAAAAAAGAATTTTCCTTTCTCAAAGCTTTCACTTCGTCAGCAAGTTCTCTACAAAGTTGAACAATAGATTGCGTTTGCTTCCTATCATCGATCAAGAATGAAAGAACCATTTTTAGATGTACATTCAGGGACTCATCTTCGCGTAGAGCTGCTATGTGATCGTCGGTCTCATTGGTCGGGGTCGGTGAAGAGCCAAAATCGATACACTGCCTTTTTTGTGCTCCTTTTCTTGTATCTGAATAATAGAGGGAGCCAAAGGAGTATCCATTATATAAGCAACCGACTAGAGAAGCAATAGACCTAGACTGGTGGCTCAATGTAAACTTATTCGAAATTACTACCCAGCCACAAGGTAGCGCCGTGATCAAATATAGACGAGAATCAATAATCAATAATGGAATGGCCTCTAGCGGTCGCCAGTGAAACACCAAGTAGAAAAAAAACCGGAAAAGTAGACCTGTATTGGTGGCTTTTTTCTTCTCAAAGTCGCACCTAGCCACGATAGTGCTCGTTAACAATCGACTGACGTCAGGTCGGAACCGATTCAGCGAATACACGAATGATATAGATAAAGTAGGGCCAGAGCCAACGAATAACCGACCGCGCGCGAAGACACCACACGCGTCAACTAGCGCAGTGCGCACTTTGTTCAGATTCCTTTTCAATGGCGCCGGATAGAGCATCGAGATTGCCAGTCACGGGGTGGTTGGAGTGTGGATCATCTTCAAATAAAAGGAGGGAACCCTGAGTAGAGGTAACCACCGGAGCACCGTGGAATTGAGAGAGTGTGCCCTCAACTATCTTCTTGGTTAGTCCTCCACATGA